GCAGGCCGAGAGGGGCGGCGCAGCTCGTCGGAGAAGGGGGCAGGGAGGAGAGCTTACCTGAAGGTCTCCGCCGCCGTGAAGGGGGAGGCCGCCGCCGCCGCCGTCGTCCGGTTCTTGGAGTACTTGGGTGTGGGTGGTCTTTTTTCCTTTTCTTTTTCTTTTTTTGAGGTGAGGGGGTGTGGATCTCGGGCACTGGGCAGAAATTGCTGGTTCCTGCTCCTGGGCTAGCTAGTGGGCTGTTGGCCTGCTGCCTTCTTTTGGGCGATTCTACCATAATCGTCCCCTTCCCCAGCTTCTCCGAGAATCACTATTTCATATATTTTTTACAATTCTAACTAATTAGACCTTAACTAGATAGGATTGTAAAAAAAATATGAAGTGACGATTCTGGGAGAAGCTGGGGAGGGGGGTGATTCTGAAAGAATCGCCGAAAAGAACTGGCCCGCAAAGTTTCTCGGTAAAGTTTAACAAGAAGTTATCAGAGCGTTTTTCTCCCTCACAAGAACTCCATCAAGGTGACCATTTTTATTTCTACTAGATAATACCCCGCGCGTTGCGGCGGGAATTTGTTGGAGCGTATAGGAGAAGAACCATGGAGTGAAAAATAGTAACAACGAAATATATATTATTTGAACCACTCATAGTATGACATGAAAAGTCAAAAAATAGTATATTGGAGTATATCTGTATTTGCGTAATTACAATATGTCGCTTTATTTTTTTATCAAACATCTGTCCCTTTATTGTGGGGAAATCTAAATGCACTACTAACACGGAGAAACCATATACACTCAAAACATGTCCAAAGCTTGGTTCGAGGTATTCCACTAAAAACAAAGCCCAACACAAAAGGCCGGAATCCCCACAAAACTAATGAATGCTTGTTCAGTTATACTATGTACTTTTTTTTGCGGGTACAGTTATCTGTAATTAGGACATGAACAATGCTATACACATGTCAATTTTTGTACCATGGAGCAGATCAAGCCGGCTACACTTAATTAGAGGAAAACTGGAGAACAGCATTCATACCTCGTACAAAGTTTGAATAGTAACTGTCATACGTGCAATAGTTCCGTAAGAATATAAAGCCCTTCAAAACCAAAGAAAAAAAATATCCACAAATCCAGCAGCAACACATCCCTGCATCTTAGAATTTGTACATGCACGACCACGAGCCACATACCAAGGACTAAAAAGAAGTAGTAAAAAAGAACATGCGTAAATATTAAATAGTGGTAGACATCATGCATGGAGAACACATATACTACGTCTCTTCCATCCAATAAAAAAGAATCAAATATATGCATCTAATTCTCCGTCAGATCACGTGATGTCCATGCCTTCAAGGAAACAACGTTGACGTGGAGATCTAAAAAAACAAATAAAAGACAGGAGCGATCTCATCTCCTGCTCCCACATTGGCGACAGATCGAGGAGCTACTCCGACTTGCTCGGCACCGGCCGGCATGTCCTCCGATGGAGCCGCCAAACTACACCTTGTGGCCGGCGCTCTCCTCTTTTTCAGCTACTCCGCGACTTGGAACCAGAGGTTCCAACCAAGCTAGCTAATAATCCGGTGAGATCCGAGGAGCTCGACAGGAAAGGGAGCCCTCACCTTGCCTGTGGTGTTGATGAGGGACGCTGACATGCACTGAGAGGCCGAGTCGACGTCAGGGCCGACATAGCCCCAGCTGGGTTGAAGCGCTCGACGGGGCTCCCGGACGACGCCAAAGCGCTGGTCTATGGAGGCTTGCTTGTCGTGTGGTATGGAGAATGGCTCGAATAAAGAGGGGAGAGAAGAATCTGGGTGGCATCGGTGGAGATTTAATGATGGATCGGAGATGAGGAGATCTATCTACGAAGAGGCAAGAAAACGAAAGGGCAGAGAGATTATACAGTGAAAACAATCAAACATACAGTATTAATTTGTTACACTTGTGAAGGAAACGCATCTTGACATGTCATCATGCATTGTGGAGAGTTTGCCAAGAGTTGCTGACATGGCTTGATGCTGACGTGGACATGTTGCATGTTTAGATAAATTGGTTAGTGGGGATGAACTTCTTAAATATATAAGATTTGTGATTGATTCCTTGTCGGCTTTGATTCTTGATGTCATTGAAACAAGAGGTCTTATACTGGTTGCTATCTGCCCAACGGCACCGAGGATATCTCATCTCTTGTTTGGTGATGATACATTGCTAATTTTTTTTTAAGGTTTTGAAGTACATGCGAACATTGTAAATGATGTGATGCATAGGTATGAACGTGGGACAGGCCAACTAATAAACCCGGAAACGTGCAGCATATTGTTTGGAGAATCTTGCTCTTGGTGGTACAGGAGGTGGTTAAAAATGTGCTGCACATTGGCGGCAGGATTTCGAGGACCGATATTTGGGACTACCTATACTAGAGGGGGGAAAGAGTTAGGGGCATTTTCCATCCCTTCAATACAGTTTGGCCAAGAGACTTGTTGATTGGTCAGAGAGATTGATGTTCTCGATCGCGAACGAGTGTTGATCAAAGAAGAGGCGAATGCTATCCCGACATACATGATGAGCATTTTCAAACTACCAATGTAGGTCTGTGATGATTTGAATAAAATGGCTCAAAGTTACTGGTGGGGTATGGAGAAAGGAAGACACAAGACACTTCAGTGCTTATACTCGTGCACTACTAGGGAAAACCCTAGCAGTAGCGCTGGTTTTGTGCTCACTAGTAGCGCGAGTAGGCGCGCTACTAATAAGGCGCTACAGCTATTGCTTAGCAGTAACGTGTGCCCGCACGCGCTACTGCTAGGACAAATAGTTGCAGCGTTTGTTCACTCCCACGCTACTGCTAATGTAACTACTGGCAGCGTGTTTTCTCTCCATCGCTAGTAGTATTCTTTTTTATTTTTTATTTTTAAGTGTATTTATGCGCCATCGTATAAATATTGGTACAATACCAGTTAAGAGGTTTACATCATTATGTCCATAACAGTGTGTCAAATGAAGGTGGATTAGGTTCAAGTGGAGGCAATATGTGGTGCATGTCAAAAGTATACTACTAATCCAAACTTGATCTAGTTTGGACTAGCAGTACTTTCAATGTGCATCACATGTTGCCTTCACTTGAATCTAATCCGCCAGCACAAGCTATTTAATCATCATCATAGTCATTACCATCAACAGTATTTATTTAATCACCACTAACACTAGCTAATAATAATCATCATAGTCATTACCATCAACACTAGCTATTTTATCATCATAGTAATAATGTAGCACATCATTATCCTCAAACTCATTTCTAGCTAGCTAATCACTCCTGCTGATCTCTCTTAGGTAAAATAACATAAAACATGTGTAGCTCTCCTCCTTGATCAAGTTGGAGCATGCAGATGAACCTGTCTCCTAATCGTGGGTAGCGCATCTATTTGCTGCCCCCTAGTATTTCTCTGTGCTTCTCCATCACACATTTGGTCCAGTCTTGCACTATTAAGCATCCGTCACTAATCTTGAATGCATTGAAGTAATCTGTAGGATATCTTGGCCGTAAGCTAATAATACTCATGGTACCTTTAGTCTCGATCCCATAAGGCACTCAGGAGTCCCTGTTGAAGAACATCGTATGGTAACATACTTAGCAATGAAGTTTAGCTTTAAAAATAATGTATGGAAAAGATGCACTGAGGACAAATAGTAAAAATCTTACCATCCTTCCTAAATAGATGTGACCGTAGTTCATTACAAACACTATTGGTCGCACGTTTTCAGTACTAACATTTCTAAATGCAGGAAGAAAATTTGTCTCGACAGTATCAAGATCCTCAAGCCATGAAACATAATGACATAGCTCCTCGCAGTTTAGTTCAGCCCCGGGACAGTAGTAGGGTCCTGTCTACCAAGCACTGGACATGTTTGCTTGCACCGAAATAAGCTGACAATACAAATTAGTTGTCAACTATTTTTGAATAAACAATATCAAAGACATAAATATGATTGAAAAACTTACATAATGGTATAACTGGAGGTGTCTGCACATCGACCCAGATGTCGGTATTACCTTCAATATCATCTTCCGGACGAATATCAAAGGTGATAACCATATCAGGCTCAAATGCATAAGTCTTACATAGTGCTCGCCATGTTTTGCATCCAAAATAGGTGTAGTCGCCTGAATTGTATAATTTTGCATGGAAAATATAACCATGCTCGGTCTTTAAGT